TTTTTAACATCAAGATGGGCGGCACTTGTGGCCTTCTGTAAAATGAGGGCACGGGTAGTACGTGTACTGTTAGGCGTAGAAGCTGGTGCGTCGTTGGATACCCTTGCCGAAATGTAACTTGGAATCTGGCAAGGGGTGGCGGGTGTGAACAAACACTTCAAGCGACGCAGTTGGCGGCTTTCACTACTTTCCCAACTGTTGACAGAAAGTGAAAGGTTCGACATCTGTTTTAGAGACTGAGCGGAATGTCTTGGGGAGAATTACAAGAGCACCGCCTTTCTTCGCAAAGGGGAGGAGCCGAGGGGAACCGTTGAATTGACAAGGCAGTATGGACGATCCAAAACCACGATAAGCATTTGTCTTAGTGTAACGTTGTTGACGCAATCGGGGCCGGAAGACTCCTCCTTCATTTCGGTAGAGCTTTAATACTCTCGTCGATTTCGACTGTAATATAGAGTAATCTGCTTTTCGGCATCTGTGGAGTCCTACTACTCAAAAAGCATTCGTCGTATGAACTAAAGAAGAAGGTGGCTCACATTGAGCAGCGGGCTGCTCAGCAAAAGAGGTTTCTGTGTACACTGTCTCCTATAAGGTCTCTCTTGTAAAAGGGATAGCGGTAAACGCACTTAATTTCTGTATTCCTTATTAGACTGTTAGATGGAGAGATATGCGACCGTTATTGCCAGACTTCCATATATGGTTCACTTTGTCTTCCGATAACCGTTTTGGGATGCTAACAGCTATTTCCTATTGCGCCGGTGTGGCAGCTTAGCCTAATTTGTTTTCGCCATGATCGCTCGGATAAGACCTTGACTCTCACAAATAAAGACTTTCCATCTATTAGGTAGAATGTTAGAGCAATACCGCATCACGAGTCATCCGTAGCGTTGGATATGTTGAAAAAAATGATCCTAAGGGGAGTAGAGAATTAGGCCCAGCCCGTAAAAGCCCCGGCGAATGACCTTGGTGGCTCCTTTCCGTAGTCCAGCTCAAGAAGGAATGGCAAAGAACCTCAGTTGCCGTTGAATAAAGATATTTAGCACATCTAATGTTCCCGTCTTCGCTATCTGCGTTGGGTTTTGTGTCCTTACGACGCGCAGTCCGCGCTCAATGTTAATTCGTTTCTGATTTTTAAAATTCGACTTTGCGGTCCTTCGAAAAGACTGTTTTAGGCGGGATACCTGCAGTTAAGGCTCCACGCATAACAGCTGTAGAGCTATTTAGTAAAAGGGCATCAAGATTTGAGGTATTTAGCGGCTTGGGGAGGGTGGGGAGGTTGCATGCTTCAATTATTCACACGTGCTCCTTAGTGACCAAGCATTGGGAAACTCCAACCGCCTTGATGCTTTGCGGGAGCTGACAAAAACATCGCATTATGTTAATTGCCACGTCTGGCCAGAACATCTGCGCCTCCACCATCACAACTGAGGCCGCCCTGAAGGTACATCGAGAAGTTGCAAATTTTAATGGGAGCGCTGGGAAAAAGATAAGTCCCACTATTAATTCAGGTCGATTCTTTCGCGCTGCATCAACTCTAACAGAATAAATACGTAAAGCCATCACACCGGGATTGAAAGGTGTAGTCGTAGCTCAGCGGTTCAGAGCGCTGACGCGCAAACTCAAGGTCGTGGATTCAATTCTCACCGACGCGACTATAAATTTCGGTCGTTGACGGTTGCGTAGTTATCCTCGCCCTCATAAATTCTGCCAAACTCTTGAAACTCATGTTTCTTGCGCGGAATGCCCTTTGTGTTTTAGAACAGGAACCGAAACATAGCTGACTAACTGTGGTCCAAAAACCATTAAATACTTGTTCCAGACCCTTAACTCTCTAAAACTTTGTTGGCATATTCGTTGTCAACACAGCAAGCAGATGCCATAGTAGATGTTGGCATTACCGTTGCTTTTGTTGCGTTGCTGGTAGCCGCCTTGGTGACCAAGCGAACGGTATACGAGAGCCTTGGAGTTACATTAAAAGTGGAACTTTTGATGCGTTAATAGAGCAGTTTAAGTGGGCGTTGTAGGCAAGAAAGCGATCCTAATTATTTACTTTTTAGTCCCCCTCAACGAATAGTTGTCATCAATGTTTGTGTACCAGCCCTAGGACAAGTTATAAAAAGAAAGAAGCACCCAGCAGCACCCAAAAAAAATTGTAATAATGTAATATATAGATATACTATATATATGCTGTTTTCCTTATGCTAATACTTACGTTGATTAAGCATATAAAAATAATAGTTTATATGTTTCATGTCACTATTATATATGGGTTATTTGTCATTACATAATAATAGTAATAAAGTGTAAATTAAATAAATGAATAAACAAATAATTAGGGTGGTAAATAAAGACTCAAAGGAAGCGACCTTAAGATGTATTTGTCTTTTAAACCTGTTTTACCAGTCTGGGTTACAACTAACTGCAGTGGCTAATAAACTAATACTATGTTCCCTGCGTACTTAATAGCCTTTTGTCGCTTTTTATAATAACAATATCTTAACTGTTTCCATTTAGCCGTCACGATGGGACTGGGTATTACGTGTAAACCATGGAGTACTTGTGCTTAAACTAAAGAGTTTTGTTTTGAAAACTCTGCAGCCTATTTATATGACGCTCAGGATAGGACCCAACAAACGGTAACATAAAGCGTAATTGGGGGAATTATAAATTTGCGTATAAGCATCTTATTTTTGAGGTGGAGTTTGCTTCTTGGAAGTGTTCAACTTTCTCTGGACTTACTCAACAAGAGCATTCCAAGTTAATTTATGATTTATAACTCTTAAGTACTTAACACGAAAGCTCCACGGAATAGCCGTTTTCTTTTTTATATATAGAGTTTAGCGGTTTGTTAACCTCCTCCTTATAATTATCATTGCTGCACCCCTATAAGCATTAATTGTTATCTTCTAATTAGTAAATTTGGTTTCCAGAGCTTTTAAATAAAGTTGTTGTGTTTAATAGCCAGTTCCGTCGATTTACAACTTGAAGAATATGGCTGTATTGTTCGCATATGGGGCCACAGTGATACGTTGGTTGAACTAGGCTTGTCTACCCTATAAATCGCGAATAGAAAAGGAGTTAAAATAGATCTTTAAGGCACTCCAACGTTCAAATCCTTCATATATGAAGTAACCGTTCTTGTATGGACTGTAAATTTTCTATTTCATATTATTTCTTGCTCATCTGGGCTAAGAGCCCCAGGAAAGCTAAACTTAGCAATCTTATAGACAAATCCTCAGTGCCGTACTTTATCGAAGGCTTATTATTGATCGCTAAAAGCTTTGATATCACATTCTGAAAGTCTTAAAATCTATTGATTTTTGTGGAGTATTTGTTACGAAAACTAATTTGACACTTAAATAATGTCCTTTTTCTTTCGCTAAGTTTTCTGACCTTGCGGGCATCATAGCCTTCGCAACTTTACCAATGTAAGATGGTAAAGTTATAGGCCGATAGTCTTTTATAAAGTTTCCTTGTTTTTCTATTTTAAAAAGAAAACAACTTTTGCTAACTTCAAACTCTTTGGAAATTAAGACGTAGTTAACATCAAACTAAAAAGCTCGTTTACATAGGAAATATCCTCAGCTTGGTCTTTAAGAAGTTGATGATATTAATAGTTTATTCGTAACTAGTAAAAAAAAAAAGATTGTCTTGATTTTAGTTAAAGGTCGCCTCGTTGTGGAACTCCTGGAAGACGAGGACAAGTGTTGAGCAGAAACGTTAATTTTTCTCAAGCAGTACGTAATACGATATTTACATGATATATAGGAGGGCGATCCCAATCCTTAAGAAGGGGTTAGAGGTTCATCCTTTTGACTAATCTTTTCTTTCTTGACTTGGGGCAGTTACCCATTTCCATTTATACAATTTTTAAGTTTAAAACGGAACAACTTTTTCCTTTTAGATCTCATTGATTATAGTCACAGCTCTATGTGACTTTCAAATAGGCCTTTGCGTTAGAATTTTCTATATATTTTTCTTTCATAAAAGATTTTGATAGTAAGTAGAATTTAAATTTGAAACTTATTTTTATATTCCGCATAAAAAGTTTTTTGATAACTAAAAATACTTGTTACTTTAAGTGTTATATATATTTTTTGATGGTAAGTAGGATTTAAATTTGAAACTTATTTTTTATATTCCGCAGAAAATTTTTTTGTTAACTAAAAATACTTGTTACTTTAAGTATTAAAAACTGACAAGTAATAATTTTTTTTTACAGAATACTATAACAAAGTTTTAGATTTTATAAGGTGTTCGAATGTTTGAGTAACTCGTGGATGTTGTAGATCTTACAGGCTTACGAAAACACATAAATAGAGTTAGTTAAAGTTTTAAAAACACTGTAATAAACTATATGTAATAATTTATTTGACAGCTTAAGAACTGCATGAGTAGTACAATACCTCTCAGTTACTAAACAGTAACAAAAATTATGTTAGAGGAAGAGAGCGGTGCGTACACCACTCATTATAGTTATTGCCTAGTGCCCCATGCAGTCAGCCCTCAAAGATTTAAGAAAACCTCCAAAAACTTGGTTAGTACTGCGCTGGGTGCCCAGTAAGCTAACCTCGTACTGCACTTCTCCCCCCTAGAAAATCGGCACATTCGCATACATGTACGGGCGCCTAATTGCTCCCAAATCAAGACTAAGCAGGTCTGCGCTTGACTTACCGAGCACCACCGCAAAAATCATTAATTAAAAAACAAAAATAATTAGAAATCTGCAAACTTTAATGTAGTTATGTACAAGTGGATAGGGTCATTAAAAAAGAAAAAAAGAGCATTAAAACTTAAAAGTTATGTCTCCTTTAAAAATTTTAGTTACAAGGGGAGGGGGAAAAATGTATAATAGTATAAAATTATGTAGTAGTAATAATAATGTAGGTTACTTAATGTTCTCCAGGTTTCAAAAATTTGTTCTAGTATCTTTATATTGCCCTGTAGTACTTTGTAGTCATAATACAAGCTACTTGAGCTAGTTTTGTTACAAAGGAGACAAAAGAGATACTTTTGCAATATCGAAATTAAAGTGGAGTCTACAGGGCTTGAGGGTTGAATACTTGGTAGTTTTACTTACTTAAAATACATATTCACATAACTATTATTTGTTTTTGTTATGAATCCTCTCTTTGAGTGTCGAAACAGTTTTTATCTCGGAAATTACCAGCAATGCATATCTGCTGCATTAAAATGCGATAGCGGAAAAGGTTAAAAACTTAAAGTATACATTCGTCAAAGCAATATTTTGGAACTTTAAATTTGCAAACAGAAGAATTCCTTGAGTGTCAAATTTTTATGAACAGAGCTTTAATCGCCCAACACAAATATAAAGCGGTCATTGAGGAAAATAAAGAGAGTCATTATTCATCTTCTATAAAACTTTGCTCTCTACTAGGTTTATACTCTCTGCTTTTAAAAGTTTAACAAAATTCTAGGGATATCGCTAGTAATTGATTTTTATTTAAACAATGGCCACTACAGCGCGTTATAAGCAGACTCCAAAGGAAGGTCGAAATATAATAGATGAACTTGAACAACTTCTTGACGATACTTGTATATTTATATATAATCTTTTATTACCTCTCTAAAAATTTAAAAACTATTTGTTTAAAATAATATTTCGTATTTATAAACGTTATGTAGGTATTAATGATCCCTTTTGCCTACTACTGGCTGGAGAGCTCTACTTCCTAGGTGTTTATATAACTTGTAGTTTTTCAAGCTCTTATTTTTTTTAATTCTTATTAGATAATAATTTTGAAAAAACTTTAAAACTTCTCCACGACGCAGGTTTGTCTAAACTTAACTTTCTAACTAATTTCTTATTAAAAAAAAACCAAGAATCATTAGAGTGTATGTCTTTAAAAGTCCAATGTTATTTAAGCATGAATTGCGAAGAATTAGCTCAAAAAGTAATTTTTACAGGTCACTTTAATTAACAGAAAAATATACACAGCACTTTATAGGAGCTGCAAAGAATGAAAAAGCTGGATGATGATGCTTCTATCACGCAACTTTCAACAGCTTGGTTTCAACTCTATAAGGGCGGCACAGAAAGCGCAGAAGCTTTATATATATTTCAGGTTTGCGCTAAAAATGTTGGCGGGATATTTTTTTTAAGTTTATTGTATGGTAAACAGGAGCTAGCAGAGAAATATGGCGAAACTAGTCTTCTTCTCAACGGACAAGCCGCAAGTCTGCTCCACCAAGGAAAGTTTGTAGAAGCAGAAGACCTTCTTCACAGAGCCCTTCAGTTGGATAGCAACGACTGCGATGTTCTGGTAAATTTGGTAGTGGCGCTTAGCCATCAAGGTTTAAACTTTTCCGTCCATGCTTGCTAATTGGCGACTCATAATTCCAATACTAGGCAATTCTTCAAACTTAACAAGTCGGTATATGTCGCAAGTCCTCGAGGACAACCCCTACCACTCGTTTTCTCTCTTAGTAAACGAGCACTCAAGGAAGTTTGATAAGCTGGCCTCTTCTTTTTCCTAGTATATAACAAAAGAGGGATCACTAGTTTGTATTAAAAACAGGAAATTTTTTTATTTTCGTAACTAGATATACTCCGTAGCAATTAAATAAATTACTTAACAAAACTAAACCTACTAGGGTTATCATTAATATTCTTTTTTTCTTTTCAAGTTGGGTTTACTTAATTTAATTAAGTATAAAACTTTTGCAGTTATGACGGCGATTTTTTTAAATATATAAACATAACATTAATAACAATAGTAGATTTTAAAGAGGGGATAATCTTAGGCTGTCGTGGATCTGGCGAAGATTTGATATACTTATGACCTTCTTAAACTTTTATGATAACTATAAACTCAAGCAACAATAACTTAAACCAACACCAATCTTCGTAGGCGGTCTTTAGGTTTTTCGGTGCAATGCCAACGGGCTACGGAATAAAAAGGAAGAACATAAGAGGCTTGTGAGAGAGAGATTCTACTCTAAAAAAAAAATATCCAGATATAATATATCTAAGAACTGCAGTTTCTATTTTTTTAACCAATATGAAAGTATTAATCCATTCCCATAGTAACTATGCCTACAAGAAAGCTACGTCTTTTATATAAAACTACTTTTCTAAAACGAGCTTTATTGGTAACTGCTTGCAAATGACCAGGAAACATCTACTATCAGTGAAAAGGATGAGTTTATGCATAGGTTATGCTCTTAACAGACGTAAATTGTAAGAGTTACACATGGAAGAGCAAGTGCTAAATACTGGAAAATAAACTGTAAATAATAATACTGTTGTTTTGGATCCCGACTCCTATCTCTCTCCCCCCCTGGAGATGTGTTTGTCAAAAATTAAGCCTTGCTAAAAAAAAATTTACCGCTACACCTACAGCTTACGGGAAACTATTCACAGATGATAACCCCTGTTTTATTGACCGAAGTCCCAATTAGATCACCTATTCTAACTTTTAAATAAAAGTCTGTTGGATCATAATAAGGTCTACTGAACAACTACGCGCAAGATTACTAAAACCTGGTGCGACTCGTTATAAATTATGAAATATCGATGAAAAGGTTTCTAAAGAAGCAATAAAAAAGCAAATAAGAACTTTTACTCGCCAATCTTAAAAGTTTATATTGAAAAAGAGGGCACAAGCGCTTAAAAAAAATTATTATTGTTATATAATTCTATTCTAGATCGAAAAGGAGTATAGAAACTTAAGAAAATTTTACAGTTTGTATATTTCACGGGCTTATAGTTTCGAGAATTAGTATATCATAAATATATATATAATGGGAAAGTTGTAGAACTAAACTAAAACTGGTAATTTAATTTACAATCTTTAACTCTCCCGAGAGCCTTGTCACTTCAAAATAAGAGCGAAATACCATATAAAAAAAATCTTGCTTGCGTGCTAAGTTGCTTATAGTTTGCAAAACCCTTGGGCGAATAACCCTCACATTACAAGTTAAAAAACAATTTCAAATATAGATTGACAAGTACTTGTGAAACCCTATCTAATGATAAGGTAAAATAAGGTAAAAAGTTGATGGAACTCTACTAATTGAATACTATTTTGTCTAACTCGAAATCAATGGTAATAGACTTTTTCTCATTGTTTGTAAACCTTCAAAGTATATTTCTGAATGTTTCCAGCCTGGCTTCAGTACCTGGTGGCTGAATAACTTGTAGTGGTAGGAAATAGTTGTCCTACCAAAGGGGTTTTATGGGATCATTGTTTATTAAAATATGTTATAGGTTATAGTTTTGTAAGATTTATAATCGGTTAAATAATATTAAGTTTGTGCAGTAATTAACCATAGCTGCAGTCGTATGTTTTCTTCGATAACGATTTAGCTTACTGGCGAAAATTTTGAGTAGAAGCAGTCATGGTAAAACTACTCGTAGATTTTAACTAGGTAAACTTTGCTTTTACTTAGAAAAAATGCTCTTGGCTTCGCGAGTAAAATGCATCGAGTTTTGTCCTATTAAGTTTGTCGAGCCATAGACATACCCTTGATATTGTTCTTACTGATATTAAAGAGGCATATAATCTTTGTTACATCAATTTAATGTATATAAGTTCAAAAAAAAGCAGCAGAAAACGAATTAGGACGGTTTGAAAATTACAAAATTATTAACAAAGAAACGGTCACATTAATTAAATATAAGGTAGAAACAATTCTTTCTAACTATCCTCAAAAAAAAGGTTTAATAATACGATGAATAACGGTCAACCACTCGAAAAGTAAGACCATTTTAAATAATAATAAAAAATGGTGCATTGTAAAATGTTTTTACTTTCAAGGGTCATACCCTTTACCATTAAGTTGAAAGCCTCAGTGTTACCATTGTCAGCAAACTATAGTCGAGGAATAACGTTAAGTACGTACGCCACAAGAAAGTATGAGTTGTACCCGTTTTGTCGAACTTTTAGGAAGCAAACTGAGATTTAAAGTGAGTCTCGGGCTGAGGCGGTTTTTACGGACGTTGCTGGATCTTAACCCCATTGTGAACGCCAAAAACTTATGTATAAAACAGGTTGATTAGCACAGTAATGTCTCATTTGTTCGTAATCAACAACTTCACCGAGCTATAAGAAAACCTTTGATTACCTACTTAACAAAGGAGGTTAATTATAACTTTCTAACTTGAAAGCCAGTATTAAACTTTAGAATTAAATTAACATGGTTAAACTTAACTTAGTTTGTATTAGGGCTAAGCACACATATTAAGAATTAACCCACTTAACATGACGAAGATAGTGCTTTAGTAAAAATAATCATTCCTCATTCCATTTTATTTTTACTTATTTTTTCGGTAAATTAACAGTGCTTTTGTTTCATCTATATTATGATAGTAATTACCCATCTATAAAAGGTGAAAGGAGGGATTTCGATTTTGTAATAGACTAGCTCGTAGCTAAATTAACGAACCTGGGGACTCTCTTAAAACGTAAGGCCGGTAGAAGCTGATAGTATGAAGAAAAAGAGGGGGAGCGATTAGCTTTACGACCCGTGGTATCTATGCTTCAGGGAAGTAATCAAAAATGTGGGACAGAAAACAAACACATGAAAGGGCGTGCGACAATATCAGGTGGTATAAGCACAAGGTACAAAGCATGGTATGAAAATAAAAAGTGCACGTTATCTAAAGCATATTATCTCAGTGATTGGCGTAGGTCAAGAAATATATGTTCCTTTTACTGTTTAAATTTAGTTCTCTATTTTTTTTAGTTTATTTAGGAGTTTTGCCATTTATAGCTTAATTTTGTTATTGAGCAAACAAAATTTGCAAGCAAGTCACCTTTTTAAAAGTAAACTTTGGGTCTATAACTCAGTCTTTACCGTTTTAGTGCACGTTTTAGTAGAATCAGCCCCATACACAAATTTAAGTGCTTAGGTGCTTTGATAAATGTGGTTTTCAGGCCCCCTTGGGCCCTTATTACAAAGTGAACCTTTAAAAGATAACTATAGAAAAAATATTATACTTTGCCATGCTCTATATTTTTGGCACTGAAATTTTGATGTTTCGAGTTTAACTAAGTTAACTATATTTTTTTCATTTTTATTATTGTGTTGTAAAAAACGAAATTTTTTCTTTACTATTATTAATTATGTTTTCGGTGCACTTTTATACTAGTATTATTTTTACTATATATGTAAGATTGTTGATATTATTATGTTATTAGTCTTATAATTGATATCATTAATGCTATTATAACCATTGTTGCAACCATTGTCAGAGCTTGAATCTTTACACTAATTATTAATGCTACATTATTAGTTTTTATTAACATCGTAATTAATGTTGGCGTCCACATTAGTATAATACCCCGTTTTAAAAACAATTATTAGCGTTTTTAGAGAGTTTAAATAATGTAACGTCGTTAGCTAAGTTATTCATAGGTTTTCTCTTTCTAATAAGCCCCTTTTATTTTAGTTTACGTTTTGAAAGTTCTTTTAAATCTTTGACCAAAAGAAACAGTTTTTAACACACGCGGAGTATCTTTCAATATTTCAAAACCTTTTATAGATTCGTACCCAGTTCCTTTAAATTTGTGACCAACACTTTTTCCTCCTACAAACGAAGTGCCTAAATAAATAATAAAATTTTAGTATTATAAAAAATTTGTTAGTTTCATAAAATATTTAAGGTACAAAGTTTAGACAACGAAGAAGTCGCATGAGTTTTCAACAACAAAAAAAAACCCAATTTTATAGATTTATTAAACTTTGATTTAGAAAGTTATGGGTTGTATAATGGAGTTATAAGTTGTAAAAATTTTTTAAAGTTTCTTATAACTTAATAGTTAAAATTATCAAATAATATGAAGGAAACTTGTACTATCTATTTAGAGCACAACAAGGGCACCCATTCACCCAAGAAAACTTAGTATAGTAAGTGAGGTTTTTTAGCTTGAAGCTCTATTATGTCCCCTTCTGTACTCATTCTTGGTTTAGCTGGGAGTTTAAGGAGAAAGAGCCATCTCTATTAAAAATGCCCGTTTATGAAGCGCTTTTTATTCTTAGACCAGATAATATGGTTTATAAAAAGCCTTTACTGTTTTTAGTTACCTTAAAAGCGTCTAATTTTTTGCGCTGCTTTGTAGCAATAATATTTGTAACAATTTTTACAATTTCCGGTGTCAATATATTTTTTTTAAAAATATTTTTTATCTTTATGTGCTTTGTCTTATAGGTACTTGGGTAAATTCTTTAATAAGAAAATGTCGCCTTGGTCATATTTTTGTTACAATAAACTATTCACTTATTTAAAATTCTACTTAAGATTAAATAATTAGTTAAAAGTTATTTCCACTCAGTTTATTTTTAATTATAGGGATATTACTATATAAACAATAAGTTACTCAGTGGTGGTTAAGGTCTAGCCTACAAATCTTACTTCTCTAATTTTTTCCAAGCAGAGCTTTTTAATGAGTTTCTTTGCGTAATCCTTCTTATACTCTATACGTTTATTTATACTTGTACTCCCTTACAAATTGGTGTAAGTTTTATTATTAGAGTTTAGAATCCACCGCAGTTGTGCAAGATACCGTTTTGTTATTAAGCTCCTTTTTATAATTAATAGCAAAATAAATCTATTTTTTGCTAAGTAACTTAGACTAAGAGCGTACTAATAAATATTAGTTTTACCTTGCACCCATCTTACTTACGCATTTACTTATTTTTATTGTTAATTGACGCTTTTTTGCATTCAGGGACGCTTGAGGGGTTTTTTACATCAAACGGCGAATGCTATTATAGCGGATGGAGGGTATGTCTTTTAAAAATAAGCTAAAGTACGGTGAAACAAAAGTTACGGCTCAAAGGCTATACGGGAGGCTATGTGGCACTAACAAGAACCCTTTAAAAAAATTGTTTTTATATTTATGTTTATATCTACTACAAATAAGGACAGTTTTGAAAATCTTTAACTTGGGCAAGCGTACAATACCCCACATAGCCAAGCGCCATTTAGAAAAATTTGAAACGGGAGCGTAATGCTTGCTTGCATGGTGGGAGTACTCTAGTAATATTTACATCTAAATGTGCAACAGATACATGAGCCTGGAGTTTTTTTATCCCGCTCACAAGATAAACTCGTTCCGTTCAAGCGTGAACAGAAATACAACAGTCATAAGAGCGACGATCTCAAAAGTGGCCGAATTTCCGGGTTACTTTACTTTTTATAACTTTGATCAGAACTTTTTAATTTTTTTCTACACAGGAATGACAAGTATGAAAGAAAAGTCGAAAGAAGTTATTAAGTGTATAGAGAAGTCTTCGAAACTAAGGAACATCCTTGCTGTAGAAGAGGTCATGATAAGCGATTTGGAGGCGGAAAGCATCTTTAAGAAGTTTATTTGAGCATATGAAACACCTTCTCTTGGCGATAGTTACATAATAATAAAAAATAGATTTTTCTTTAAAGGACTCCCTCCAAGAGTTCTCTTTCTTCTTTGGTAAAGTTGCGAGGAAAGATGACTCGGACGGTCACGTGCATATCTCCAAAGTCGCCGTGGTAGTCACGAGGGGGCATCCCCTCCCCTTAACGCAAGCTATGTTTTACCAAATAAAAGTCTAGTAAGTGGGATTGTGTTGTACCTTTTATGATGAGGACGTGTTCGGGTTGCGTTACACCGCTGGTCTGGACGGTGATCTGGCCATTACGAAAAGTAAATTCTCCCACCCAGTAGATACAAGGAGGAACTAGAATAGCACCTGCCGGCCGTCCAGGTGCTCAATTGCTCTCTTAAATCCGAAGAGTGCCTCCTTCAGGGTGACGACGATATTTGCAGCCAAGTCGTCTCCTCGCCTTACAAAAACGGGATGCGGAAGAACAGAAACCACAAACTTAATATCTCCCGCGATATATTCAGGTGGTCTGTCCCCAGCTTTCTATCAAGTGCATAGAGCAGTACGCTTGTGAGGCGCAGAAAAGGATAAGAGTACCTTTAACACTATTTCGTCGCCGTTGGTCATTCCCCTTTGAACTTCGAGAGTCTCAAAGTGGGACATCGGCATGACCTTTCAAAAGTTCACTGGAATATCTTGCAAAATGGATTCAATTAGAAGCGCACCTTTCTACCGCGGCACTCTTTACAAGACTTGCTAACAACCCTACCCTTCCCGCTGCAAGACTCGCATCTGCATATTATTGTTCGACAGGGCTCGTAACATAGATTAAAAGAAACAATAAACTAACGTTCGCTGCATTTCTTGGTACATTCCAGGGCCGAGATGAACTCTTGTTACGCGGATTCCTCTGCCGTTGCAGGTAGTACAGGTCTACCAAAAAGCGAGATTGTCTACTTTAAAAAAAATCGTACTTTACCAAGAATAAATGTATTACCTTGATGCTACTGGTATCATATGCCCCGGTGCCACGGCAGTGTGGGCAAAGCCGCTGGTTTTTTATCTCGATCTTTTGATAAAGAATTGATTAAACTCTTACTTATATTTAAATATTTAATCACTTTAATAAATCTTTTCGAGTAGACTTCCGCTAAGGAAACTTGGAGCGGGAAAATAATATCCGGCATTTTTTTGCTTTGAGAGGATGAGCCGCCAAACAAACTTGGTTTATAAAAAGTAGATTTTCGACACAAGTTAAAATGCAATAGTACAATGCACAAAATAAAATCGGACACGACATAGTAACCGCGAGAAAGAAAAAAAAAAATACTGGCTGAGTATGTCGCCGAAGCCACCACCGCCATCGCCTTTATTTTCGTTTTTTAAAGCCTCTAGCCCGTAGTTATCATAAACTTCCCGTTTTTCTTCATCGCTTAGAACAGAATATGCTAAAATATTTAAAAAGTAAGGTAAATAAAATTATTTCTAAAATTCTTTTTTACTCAACTTTCTTGTGCCAGTGGCTGCTTTTAAAACCACAGCAAATAGTTAATATAGTAATGCTACTAAAAAAACGCTACTGAAAACTTCATACTGATGGACTCCCTCTCTGTCTCTAACTTCTCGGGAAAAAAATTATTTTGTTAAAACTAATTGACACTGCCTTCTTTTCCTGCCTACCCTTGCACGCACAAGTAACACCGAGCAAAATTTAAAAATTTGATAGCATTTACTTTGAATTTAAATTAAGTTAAATATAACTTTAGAAGCTAATAAATTTTTTAAGTCACTATTATTTTATAAGAAACGAACCCAAACATTATATATCGATATAGAAAGAAAGTATTGAAAAATTAAAACCTTCAGCTACTTTAGTAAAGCTATCGTGTGCTTGGGGGTCAGGATTGGTATCTGGATGTAACTGTTTGGCTAGTTTATGATAAGCCTGAAAAGTAAAACCACATATTAAAATAAAATTTATATAAAAATAAGATGCAAAATGTATAATCGTATAATAGAAGGGGAAAAGGATATGGCTAACAGCAGTTTATAAATCGCTGGTAACAAAAACTTACCCTTTTAATTTCACTTTGAGAGGCTGAGGGTTTCACTCCAAGTATTTTATAGTACTGAGTATCGATTTGTGAGAAGACATTGTTTATATAAGTAGCTACTAAAAAAATAGCAATCACGATACAACGAGAGAGCGCCATCAAAACTTGCGCGGGTAAAGTTTAATATTTCTCTAGGGCTTCTTTAACGATATAATATACTTCATGCATTTTTACCCAATCAACTCGAGCCCCGAGTTGAGTGCACTTACCACCAAGCGTTACAGAGCAGATCTTTCGATTCGAGGACTATCAAGTCATTGCGGACACCTAATGTAACTCTCCGAAGTTGCACCATACTTTCAATTTAGAGCTTTGTTTATCTATTTCATATTTCAATATATAATTTTAAAGTTTTCTAAAGTTTTATTTAGCTTGTACAAATATTACTTTTTTTGTATATTTAAAACGATTAAAAGAAATAAAAACTAAAATTTTCTTAAGTTATTTTAATCGTCTCCTAAATCGAGCAAGACAGGCAAATGTTCCGACGACAATTCGTTCAGAGCCTTAATAGCCGTTGTAAGGCATTTATTTTTTAACACGGTGATATTTAAAACGTCCATTGTGGCGGTCTCGCCATGTGCGTTGACCACTGTGACTCAAGAAATCTCAACAAGTATTTAGTAATATTGCTTAATATACTTTTAAAGCTTTTTTTTTTGTTTTTTAGCAAAATCTTCAATATAATTAAAAATAATGCTGACCCTAAGTGGTAGCAACCTAAACCTTAATTTTAATGGCTATTAATAATTATTTATCTGGATGGAACTATAGAACCATCCGTGTCTAAATTAAATGAACATTTTAGTTACGGCGAGAAGTAGACTATACATTATAAAAAGAATCAAGGAAGTAAAGTTAAGAAAAAGAATAACGTAATTTAAAATAGTCGTGATTATGAAATGGCTGAGATCGCTAAGTTAACCACAGTCGGTGTTTAATTAACCAAGAACACGTGAGACTGCTTAATATTTTCTTTTAGTCAGACAGTAAGGGAAGGAGGGGGAAAGTTAATACCTCTGTATACAATGCGGTATACCCTTAACCCTTAACCTTAATTTTAACCCTAAAAAAAAATTCCTTCTAACTCAAATTAGGTATTTTTTGTAGGTTACTAACCTATTAGAAATTTATAGTTTTTGAAGCTTATTTTCTGTCTCATGCTCTAAGAAGGTTGCAAGTGGATGATAACTGTGAAATAAAGTATATCTCTTTCTTAATTATTATGAACCTTAACCCAATTTTATGATAAGAAAAAAATTAAATACGCAACCATTAAAAACCGAAAAGAGAACAGCGTCACTACCACTAATTTTTGCACAGAAAAGATCTAAAAATTAGTAAATAATTTAAAATTTAAATATATTTAGTGGTAAGACTGTTTTACTTCCCTGCAAACGGGATAGGGATCACCCCATGAAAAGTGATACCGATTTCAAATATGCATACTAATACCCTGGTTTTCTTTAGTGAACTAAAAAAACAATAATTAATTATATAAATTATATAGCAACGGCTTTTACCATTACTGCATGTGCGCGCTATTTTTAATTGTAGATCGCTTGATCTTGTTGTACAAACCAATGTGTTGGCAGCTTGTATATGCATCTATAGATAATTTTAAAGTTATCCCAATTTATATAATGCGTATGCTCAACCCGACTATTTGGTAGACGTAAACTTACTTGGGATGTTCCCTTACGAATTACAAATAGAATAAGAAGGCGGAAATTACGATTTAATATGTAAATTGACATTTTTAATTACTGAAAAAACGAGCAATATTTTGAAGAGCGCGTCCAAACTTTTCAAACAGGCGAGGGTACCAATTAAGTCAAATTTTCTAAACACTTTTTTCTATCCTATTTTAAAAATGGGCTCCTAATAACATTTTTAAATTTTAAAAAGTTTATTAGCATTACACCCCTTAATTTTTTTTTTAATATTTTATATTACTAGTTATTAAATTTTACTGGCAATAAAAGGAATCAAATCAATACAGTTTTATCTCAAAAATTTTTTAAGCAATATGAGGAATTAAAAATATAAATTAACGTTATAGTGAGCTACTATATTTTTATTTATAAAGGAGCTACAAATGAAACTTTATAAAATAAAGTCGCATAAAGTAAATTTAATTTTTTATTCTTTTGCTCTTTTTTTTTTTTAATATTTTTACCTCTTCTCTTTTTATTGTTAGATACTTTATTTATCTACTTTCCTATTCTTACTTGATTCCATTTATATCTATTTTTAATCTATTAACAAAGGTTCACCGATTTTCACTTTCATCTATTAGTTTTGAAAACTTAAAAACGTTTAACTTCGAATATTAATCGGTCTTTCCAAAAGACAGGCCTAGTCACTCGGGGTTACCGCGGTTTTTAGCGGTTTTAGTCTACTCTATTCAAATGGAAGAGACCGGGCTCTATACATCTCCTATACCTTTCAGCTCTCGGGACAGTCATAATACTCTTTCGGGAGAGTAAGACTGGTGGACACTTATTTCCCAACCCCTTAAGAGGAAAATACTGCTGTTAGTTTTTGCCTGGGCTATCTCCCCAATTAGTCCACACGGTTGTCTAGGCAGGGTGCTGGAAAATAAAACGCTAAGATTACAAGCTTCAGTTAAAAAAAAATGTCTAATGCCCGATTGCCAATTTGGGGGGTTTAGGCATAACCATTCAACTACTTAACAAATTTTAAGACGTTAGGAACAGGTCTCAAAAAAAGTTTAGTGAAAGAAAATCAGCTTGTAGCAGTATTCCTATAATTGCGAAAGCTTATGATAAGGTTTTGGCACAGAGGTAAAAAAATAGGAAAATGTAGCTTTTTTAGTTACCTCACATTCTCCTTGAAAGAATTTTGTTTATTATAATAAATTTAGAGAAATCTTCCTATAGCAAGCTAATAGCTGGAGTATCCAAGGTGTTCCCTTCTTTTTTCACTGCTCCCCTCCGTAAACCTTTATGGTGCTATCAAATCTAATAATGCTAAGGACATCCGCAATATACTCCAGTTTAAGGTCATTCCTTTAGCGATCAAGGGCCTTTACCTGTTTCCTTAAATCCTTAATAAATGGTTTGACAACTGGCAAATTATAACTGATGTCCGAAGAGGAAAAGCTCCTCTATTATCAAGAAGAGTAAAAAATAAATTCCTTAACGATCTTATCATAGGAATTACGCAGATTCCTTGGAGCGCCCAAGTTAAATACCTCACCATTATAATTAAATTCAAACTAATTTGGCATGCCCACATACCTACGTTATTAATAAAGCAAAAACTCTAAGAAGCACTTTCTACCTCTCTTTGTGCAAAAAAGTTAACATAGCCTCACAACAAGTTAAGTCCAAGATATTTTTGTTTAGACCTGTACTCAGGCGTCAGTTGCATGAGCCTAATCGGACGCCAGTACTAATCGACCACAAACCCTACGGGCAACCTTCTTTGTAGGCTAACTGGGGTATCTTATTTCGCTCGCAATTGTTATTTTTAAGTAGCAAAAAATGGTCTTTCAAATTCAGGACATCTAACCAACTTTTGTTTAAGCAGTGGCTTACGATACTAACTACTACTCCCATCACTAATTAACCCAGAAGTATTCTTCTGGAAACTTTTATAATAATATTAACAGAAGTAATTATGGTAATATAATTAAAAATATTAAGCGAATAATAACACCTATAACTGAAATTAACCTTATATAACAATTCAATTACGGGAACTTGTACCTGCAATCACCCTTGCGGAAGGAATACGTATTAAGTGTTCATACACTTAACAGGTTAAATACGTAAAGTCATCATACCGGATCGAGTGTTGTCGCCGTTGCTGAGCGGTTAAGAGCATTGAAGCGCATACTCAAGGTATGGGTTCAATTCCCACGGCGCAACTCTCTTTTTCGGCCTTTGTTGGCGGCGTATTTAACCTCGCCCTCTAATTCGTCATAAGCACGCGCTCTGCTTTGGGGTAAGGTAAGGGCACTCCACTAAAGACCCCGACTCAGGGAGAGCAACATACGTAGATTTATGAGGGCGAGGTTAAATACGCCGCCAACAAAGGCCGAAAAAGAGAGTTGCGCCGTGGGAATTGAACCCATACCTTGAGTATGCGCTTCAATGCTCTTAACCGCTCAGCAACGGCGACAACTCTCGATCGTATTTAGCCTGTTACAAACCTCCTTAGGTCCCCACTGTGGAAAGTTGCCTCTTAATAAAGTGATAATTAAACAAAAGTAGTGTTAATAGTTTGTAGTCCGATATTGCCTTTCTTTGTTTTACCCATTCTTTATCTAGTAAGTATACAAACGAAGCTTTTTAACCGTTATAAGCTGACAATCGTAAGTAGCTCAGTCATAAAATTAAGCAATAAAGTCGGAGTAACATATCACCAACACAGCTTTTTTTGATGAGGTGTAAAACACTTCCGCAAGGTCAAAATGGGAGGCAGAATAAGTTATATTTTTCATTGCCCTTTGGAAGAGATTGCTAAAGCTATATTAACTCTCATTTATTCAAGCTAATTACATTATCGATTTTTTAAAAAAATATATAAACACGATCCTTTAAGAATCTAATGACATTTATAGCATACAAATAAATTACCAGGTAAACTGGAATATAGAATCTATCAGAGTTTTTATTGCCTACGTTTTCATTAGGTTCCGCAAGACAGGAATTAATTAACTTTAAAGCTAACAAGTACGAAGGTAGTCATAAGAAATAAAGAAATAAAGGTCTTTCTTTTACACTAAAAAACAGCTCTTTTATAAATAAAAAGCTTCTGTATTCCAACTTATAAGAACCAAGTCCATTTAAAGAAATTACAAAGTTTTATATTATTTCTAGGAATATTTCTATTTTAAAGAGTTGTAAAACGCACAATTAATAAATTTTCAGTATACTGCATCTACTGTTTTTTTTTATATTGAAAGTTAACTTAATTTTGAAGCAAGAGGAAGTACTCTCTATTTGCAAGTGCTTACTAGAAGGAGATTTGATAAAACGTTGATTTTTAAAGATGTTATTTATATTTCAAAAATAAGGAAATATATTATTATTGCTATTATAATATTATAAAACTGCACTTCCTTAACGTTG